GAGAAAAAAATTACAAAAGAATCAAATTTTGTGTGTAGCTTCAGTGACTAAGTACATGAACATACTGCTTCTACCAATGATACAGGATACTTTCTCTTCTAAACATTTAAAAGCTATGTTTAATAACAAGATTTTAAACATTTGCCACTTGTGTCAGATCTATGATGAGAAAAAAATTACAAAAGAATCAAATTTTGTGTGTAGCTTCAGTGACTAAGTACATGAACATACTGCTTCTACCAATGATACAGGATACTTTCTCTTCTAAACATTTGAAAGCTATGTTTAATAACAAGATTTTAAACATTTGCCACTTGTGTCAGATCTATGATGTGAACACTGGCTGTTACTCATTTTGGCCACCCTGGGACTGCAGTTCCCTGATTCGTGTTCCAGCCAGAATTGTCTCCCTGCTGATGTTAAGAGATTTTTCTTTTGAGATTTGCTTTTCTCTCTTCCCCCAAATCCGCAATGAAGAAAATAACTTCAGAACATATTTTTTCATATACAAATAAAACATATATTCTTTTGTGATTAATCTCCCCAAATTCTGAATCTGGCTTTTTAATATGTGCCTTGTCTTAATATTCCTTTGTGCCTTGCCTTAATATTCCTTTGTTCACAGGGTCCTGGCTATGGAACCTTGAACCCTTTGATTTGACAACTGAACGTGTCGAAGTGGAGAATTTGTGTGTTTGGACTCTGTGGATTCTAGAAAAGCCCACGAGAACTCACTGCCCAAGAGCCTTCCAGGCCACGATTAAATGCAACACAGTGTTTACCAGCTGCTCACCCATGGACTAAGGAGTCACAGATCCCTCTGCCTTTTCAGTAGCAGACGTACCCCCTGGGCTCTCCTTACACAACAGTGGGAAGGCATGGAGATTTCTGGGCCCATTAGAATCTATTCTCCACCTCTGGACCAAATCTGACCAAAGCTGTTTCTCAATAGTCAGGGAAAGGTAAAACACATCAAAAAGTCATTCACATGGAAGTCTAGAACTTGTCTTTTCAGAGCAGAGTCTAAAAACCAATTGGAATCACTCGTTACTCTGAAACCCATCTCCTTTTCCCCTGCACTGTCACTTAAAGTTTTTTTCTCCTTGGATGTTCCTAAAGTTTTGGCCTCTACTGACCTGGCCCCCAACCTTCCTGCAAATAATCCACAAATATATGATGGCAGACAATTCAGATTAAAAAGAACCTGGAAACCTCCCATAGTCCCACTGAGAATGCAGTAATAAATTCAATACCTTCTATAAGGTCTTCGATTGCTTTCCTCACTCCCCTGTCAAAGGCTCGAGCATCAGCAGGGCTTTGGAAAGTAAGTCCAAACTTCCTATTGTCGACCTTCCAGTGATGAAAGGTTGGGTTGGCTTTCGTGTAGACCAAGTCCTTTCTCACATAGCATTCCAATACCACCTGAAGGATTGAAACACACAGGCGGGTTACTTGTTAAATCGTCATGAATTTGTCTGGTTACAAAAATCTAACTAGGAACCATCGTCCTTGTTGGCAACTAATGAAAACCCTCCCCTCTGCCTTCACGTATCTTTGAAGGCTTCTTGGAGGAAGGCTTTGTCTGCCTCTGTTGACCATGCACTCCTTGCTACCCCGTATCCTTGGTGGTCCTCCCTTGGTGGATCTCAATCTTCCTTCTCCTGTCCTAATGCGTGTCTCTCAGTGACCTCAAATTCAACAAGCTGAGAAAATAACTAACTTGCTCTGAAAATTCTGCCCCTAGTAACTTCCCCTTATCTAGCAATGCCAACCCCTCTCTTTTCATTCTCTCTGGCTCAAATTTCTGTGGTTTTCTTTTGCCTCTTCGGTTTCTCTATCCCCCGTATTATTATTCACCAAGTCCATTTCATTTTTCCTTCCACATCTTTTGTATCAACCCTGTTTCAATTGCTACTACCGTGATCTAGGTCTCTACTAACGTTTTATCTGGATTATTAGAACAATCTCCAAATTTCTAGCAATCTCGTCTCAGAATGGCCTTTTTACTAAGCTATGACTATGAGCAGATTCTCTTAGACCTTTGACCTTTTTATCTCTAAAGCGGAAGCAACACCAACGTTATCAAAGAACGTACACATGAACATGCTTTGAAAACACCAAACAGTAAGAAACCTAACAGGGTCACACACGCTTCCCAGTATATCGCATTATGTTTTACTCTTTTATTTACTTCCGTTTTTGTCACCTTCACAATTTAGTACTTGGTTTCATATTATTCTCTACCAGTTTCGTATGCATTAGTTTTGTTCCCCTAACTAGACTGTAAAAGATCAAGATGTTTTATAAAATAACTCCCTCTGTGTGTAGAGTGCTATTGCGGGTAGAGATACCAGAGTTTAAGACTATAGAATAAAAGAGGCATTGTAATCACGTGAATGTAAACTCCAGTCTTTATTCATAGAAAGCTCCAAAATATTGACAGTATTTATTTCTATGGTTCCATTATATATACATCAAAATGATTTTGCTAAGTTCTATTAGCTTTGACCTTGTTCTGGCAAAGTTCTACATTTAACAAAATGAGATCTTATTAATTTTTAACTAAGTGAAAGAATAAAGGCCTGCCTAAATTAATAAAAATTCCAATTAGAGAGAATATCTTTAAATGAGTACAACTTTCAAGAATACATCTAGGCAAACAGAAATTAAACATTGCCTAATAAATGTTCCCTAACTTAATAGATGAGAATAATAGTCAAATTGGCATATCAAATAGCAGTCCCAAGCAGTTAACTTTATTCCATTGTATTGAATGCAGACAACAGTCCCCTCGCACAGTTCTATTTATGATTAAATTGCTTACTATGGCCATTTTCCCCTAAGAATAGCACAATGATTAAATGTCAGCCCAGCCCCATTCCAAATTGGGGATATCCAAATAACCAAGGCTTTAACTAACAAATGTTATCTATTTTAGAATTTAATAGTCTCAATGCAAAGTCTCAAAATAAACTTTTTTGTAAAAACAAAGACTTCTGGTTTTTTTCCCTATTTTTTGGGTGAAAAAAATTAGTCTTTGGTTGACATTTTCTGTGTTGAAGATTATTCCAAAGGTACATCTTCCTAGAGAAGTGCAATAAGTTCTTAGAAAAGTAAAGTTCAGCCACCTAAATTATGTGAGGGGGAGGAGGCCAGATACCATTTCTTTGTTCTCTTAAACAAAATTACATCATTACCTATCTAAGTTTAATGACAAAAACGAAAACGTTCAAATGCTTTCATCTTCCTAACAGGTATAACCCCTCTAGTGAAGTTTTGGCATAATAGGTATCAATCTTCTAAAGTGAAGTTTAGGCATTGACTTAAAAGTTGAGAAAGGCTTTTAAAAATAGCTTTTTAAATCAGATGCGTGGGGAGAAAAAAAGTGATTATATATTCTTGTTGGAGGTTTCAAAAAAATCGATACAAGAAATCCATATTGTAGAAGATTTAAGTAATTTAGGTGAGTCCACGAAGGTTCCATTCTTGCCCATCTCACCGTCCCTACCCTCAACGCCTCTCCCTTCTCCAGAACTGCCCACTGTCGGTATGGTAGACACAACTCCAGTTCCCTTCCTGCAGCCTCTTTACATACGCATGTAAGTTTGTGTGTGTGAGTCTGTTTAAATGTAGCCAAGCCTATAAATTGGTCTTTAACTTGCCTTTTTCCCAAAAACGTGTCTTGGAGATACAGGAAGGTAAAAAGGATTCTGTTTAGTGGCTGCATAAATAATATTCCTCAGTACGGATATATTAAAATTATTCAGCCATTCTCCACACTAATGGGCATTTAAGTCATTTCTAATTGGTTGCTTTTACACTGTCTAATGCTGGAATGAACATCCTTGAACATGTTCTCAAAGTTTGGTCTCTTGGGAGCCTTCCCTCTGCACCCCCAGGTCCTTTCACGGGGTCTGGGATGGCAAAACTATTTTCATATATTAAGATACTTTGGCTTTTTCATTGTGTTGCCAGTTCTGCTAATGGTGCAAAAGGAACGGTGGGTAAAACTGCTGTGCTGAGGCATGAATCAAGGCCAGGCAGTGGCACCAAACAGTACCAAAGTCACCGGATTCACCACTGTCACATGGTCAAAGTAAAAAAGGCCAGTCTTACGTAGGATAGTACTTGATGAAGCAGTTAAAAATTATTACATCTTGACCTGTGAATACACATCTTTCATCTCGTGTGATGAAATGGGAAGTACACATAATTGGATTCTCATATCTGCTTCTGCATTTGATCTGCTGTAATACGTTGCTTTGGCTGAAGTATGGGAAGAAACTCTGGCTTTGCACAAATGTGTAATTAGAAAAGGGAAGAGTATCTCTCATAGCCTTCTTACTTCTACTGCATGGGGAAGAATGACGATTGTCTCCAGGAAAAACGTGTGTAATTGCTGCAGTTGTGAGTTGAACTAACTACTTTCCTCATGGATCACCAGGTTTACTTGAAAGAACAGCCTACAGGTGAACTACGGTTATTCAGACTTGGGTACTTGGCAGACATTTTCTTGAAGATGAACACAGCGAGCCTGTCACCTCTAGGAAAACGAGGAGATATTTGTTGCCAATAATGAAATTTCAACTTTCAAGTTAAAATTAGAATTTTGGACAGCTTCCCAATACTTAAGACTTTTCTAATGAGATCAGTGGTGATATTAAGAAATGTGATTTTTGATATTGTAGAATTAAATGTATCAACATTTGGAAGATCTGTTTAAGTCAGTAAACCATTATTTTCCAAATGACCAATGCATGACGTTATAAAATCAGGAATGAGTAAAAGATCCATGCAAAGGGAAAGATAAACCAGTGGATTTTAATGTAATAGAGTATAAAAAGGTCATTGATATGGTTTCAGAGTCCACATTTAAGAAACTACTACAAGCCGAGTTTTGGTGGAGCATCAAAGAAGTATATCTACGATGGTCTGAAAAGGCTATTAAAATATTTCTCTGTTTTCCAACTACATATCTGTGTGAGGCTGGATTTTCTTCATGTACTTCAACCAAAACATACGGCCACAGATTGAAAGCAAGAGTAGACATTAGAATCCAGCTATTTTCTATTAAGTCAGATAATAAAGAGATCTGCAAAAATGCAAAGCAATGCTATTCTTCTAATTATTTTTTTTCTGGAAAATAGTTATATAGTTATTTGCCTATTCTTGCCTGTAAAGAATGTCATTTATGCTAACACTACTGTTTAATTAAGATTTTTTAACAATTTCAGTTTTAATTTCTAGTATGGTAAATATTAGTAGCTATAAGCTACAAGATAAAAGCGTTTTGGGGTCCTCAGTACATTTTTAGAGGGTAAAGGGATTCTGAGACCAAAACTCTCCGATAACTGTAGCTATCCATAAAGCTCTGCAGTCTATTTCCATAGGATAGGGTTTAGATGTGGAACTGCCAAGTAAAAAGGAATACACATTTTAAATTCATATCCTGCCAAATTGCCTTTCAAAGAGCTTTGCCGGCTGTAACTCCCACCAAATGTGTGTGGGAGCGCTCACAGACCTGCACTGGAATGCAACCTTTTAGATTTTGTGATTCACCTTCATAAGGTAGTTTCTCACAGGATTCATTTCAGAAGTAAAATCCTCTAATCCATCTAAAATAAGATTCAACTCAGAAATTTTTAGTTTACATATAATTTCTCAGGAAAACTTGATTGTCTCCGACTCACAAAAAATTATCCAAATAACGAGTTTGTGAATGGATATTTGGAACACAGGCTTTTCCCGTAAAAACAATGGAAGTTAAGTTCACAGGCGTCAACACAGAAGTCAAGTAACAACAACAAAAACCAATGTGCTGAATTCTAGAACTGCACTACATTGGAAAAACTACTGACAACAGTTTCTATCAGAAAAGGCTGTTGTCCCGGTTGGAATACTGGGAACTCTGATACCATCCGTTCTCTGTATTCCCAAAATGATCTCCACCCTCTCCTCACCATTTCACCACTGAGGGGGAGGGGTGTCCTTCAACAACCCCACCCCATTTGCACAGCTTCCAGGAGGATTCATACCCTCCAGTGGGCAGAAATGCTGCATTACGTAAGCTTGAAGGCCAAAGGAGGAGTCACCATATTGCCATAAGTGTGTGGGGGGTTGTGTGTTAGGAGTCCAGGATTTACCAGAGTGTGAAACAGGCACAGTGAGGGATGGAAAGATGCAGAAGCACATCTGGGTGTATGGGTGTGTGATTTAACTACTAGTGGATACAATACATAAAAGTCCAGAAGTGTAGAGTCACAGAATGTAAGGGGGACAAGAAAAGGGAGAGGGTGATGGAGAAACATGACAGGGGAGGGGATGAGGCACACGATACTTGTGCAATAGCAACACACAACAGAAGCTGGTCCACAGCCAGGACTGTCCTATTCCCATGCAGAGCTGGTATGAAGGGGCCAGGTTTTGGCTTCACAATGGAATGGTTCCCAGTGCTGGCTCTGCTAATGACTATGTGCCCCAGACTGAGGAAGTGGATCACTTCTTGGAGAATTGAGGTTCCCCATTACAAAGTGTAGATAATATCAATAGTATCCTCCTCCTTCAGACTGTTGCAGGAATTTAACTGAGGTTATTTACATAAAGGGCCTCAAACAAAATTGTAGAAGCTCACAATTACTATGGTCAAGTCGGTGGTACGATACAAGTTTACAAATGCATCTATAAAATGAAAGGGCTGAATTAGACAATCTAAAGGCTATTTCAGGTTGACATATTCTATGACAAACCACAGAAATACCAGGAAAAAATAGACCTAAAAAGATGTAACCAGGTACAATAATTTGCTAACACAAAAGTAGTAACAATAAAAATAAAAAGGGAAAAAGTGAAAAAAAATTTTCTAGCTAAATTTTTGTAGGAAAAGAACCCCAACTAAAAGAAAAAAGGCAAGCAATGGATTATAAAATTATCTGCAAATATGTAGATGAAGATGAGTATCTTTATTATACTCAGAGGGCATACGTATCAAGGAGAAAAATCAGGCCCCAAAAGGTAAATACACAAAGGACACTGACAGATAATTCACAGTTAAGACTGTTTAACAAACAGAAAAACATTTGATCTCATTATTAATCAAGATACCACTGTTACCCTAATCAAATTGGTAAAGATTTAAAACATGTGACCCTCAGCGTGTTAAAGAAAATTCTCACATATGCTGGTAGCAGCTCTTTGTACAAGTATCGAAAGTCATAAAAATTTGACCCCTCAGATTATTCCAAGTAAATAGTAAGTGTGGAAAATGCAGGTAGATAATACTGGCGGTAGTGGGAAGGGAAGGAATCTTAACATTTGACACTAAGGAGATCCTCAAATACACAATGGAAAATCAACCTGATACCAGCAACATGAAAAATTTCTTATGAGAATATCTTATGAGATACAAAACTTTAGGGACTTCCCTGGTGGTCCAGTGGTTAAGACTGCACACTTCCACTGCAGGGGGCAAGGGTTCGATCCCTGGTCGGGGAACTAAGATCCCACATGCCATGTGGCCCCAAAAAATAAAACAAAACAAAACCACACCACACACACAGATATAAAACTGTTTACGAGCTCTGATTACAGCTAGGTAAAAATAAAAATACGCACAAAGGGAAAAAAAAACTATATCAAAGGGCTAGAGGTGGTTATGCACATGCGACTTTGGCTCAGTTTGGGGTCAGAGTGACAGGGTATCAAATACTGGTTCCCGGTCCCCAAGATGGGTCATCCAGAACAAGGAGTCTTTCTGAATCTTAGTTTCTTCAGTTATAGCTATACAGGCTACTGTAAGGATACAATGATACATCTTAACTAAAGGGCTAGCATTGTACTCAGCCCTTAGGTAAATGCTGGCTAAAAGGTAGTTATTTTACTTTTCCTTGTTAGTGTGGTTACATTGCCTTTATTGTGAATATCTTATACACAAGAATGTTTTAATTATTTGACTATTATGTAAGGAATTTCTTGAATGGCCATGTTTCTTAAAATGAGCTATATTCTCCCTTTAAATTTTCATTCATTTCATTTTCAGAAATGAATCAAGTGTGAAAATACCATTTCCGTTAATCCATATATAACATTTAGAAATTGTTCTGCCTTATTTTGTAACCTTTATAAACATTAAGAAGTGGTTGCAGAAGAAGATTAAGTTTGTATACTCAGCACATAAAACTCAACACATGCCGCTGTCAAGGGTCTCCAATGTACCACTGACTTATTACTGTGGTGTCTTTGTATTTTCTCTGTTGAGATCCTGCACATTTTGAATCAATGGTTGGCTTTGGAGTATACATTCCAGGATCGAATACAGATAGGAGCATGTTCTCCCAGATTCAAGGCCACCAATTAAAAATAGACAATTTTCCTTCGTATCATAGATTCCTTCATAACACAGAACTGGACATCCAGTCCCTCCATGAAACTATGTTATAAACTATCAACGCCCCCATCTTTGTGAGATAATGATTACTCTCCAAAGTGCCTATTTTTAAGCATGTAGAATTATTACAGGAGTGTAATGCCGCTGCTTTTTGTTACTTTCTTTTCCCAAACGTGTTTTATTCATTAGCTTATGAAATAGAAGCTGCAGTATTGTTGAGATAAACATTTATTTAGAAGTAACGTCAGATGACACTTCCTCTTTGCATTCTATCTCTCACCATCCAAATCTTGATGGCATGCTCCATGAATAAACCCAATGTTTAAAAAAACTCTGACTTTACAGCTCACTACGATGTGATTCATAATAAAGAGCATACTTTCATTTTGAACATCTTGTTACAGTGACAGAAAGACAGCTTAATTAATCAAGACGCAAATAAGACAGCCAAATGCACGGCTTCTAAGCATCTGAGTTATACGGTGTGTAGTAAAAAGTGACTTCACTGAAAAGCCAAGGTTAGGTTTTGCAATTTGGCGCCAGCCCCGTGAGTTCTAACTTTGGAAGCTTTTGCAAGAGTCTGAAGTCAGAGAAAGAAGGAAAAATATACCTACAGGAAAAGGGCTATGATTTAATGTCAAGAAATCAGTCGTTGCTAATTTAACCCACGCGTTGCACGTCTGCCATTACCAGTTTGTCTTTCTGTCGTTCACCATGGATGAGAAAGCCGCTTCGTCCATTGCCTTCGGGGTGCATGACCTTACAGACCCCCACGCGACTGATCCCGCCTCCTTCCTGTGGGAACCATCCCCCGCTGGAGTCATCTCTGGTCATAACCACAGCCTTGACGCGCACAATATAGCTGTCACTAAAACGACAACAACAAGAAGAATGGGGCATGACAATGGTCTGGAGCTGGAGGACACGTTTCACAGTGCAAGGGGACCACAGCCAGCATTTTTGGGACTCATCAAAAGAAAATCTACGCCTGGCAGCAACCTTAAAAGATAGCCTGTATCAATGTTCAGGGAAAAACCCAAACTCTTAAACTCAATATAAAAGTATGTTAAAAAAAAAAAAAAAAAAGACGCCCAGTCATTAAAAAATATTTGTGAATCTTTGAGGATGTATGCAAGCATAACATTCTCCAGTTTCTAGGTGGACATATTAATAATAAAACGAATGAACTTCTATCTAAGGTTTGGTATCTATAAGTTCGGAAAGACGAGTCTATTAACTTAAGAGGACGTTATGGTTTCAACCCTTAAAACTTGGTTTATAATGAATGACCAAGGCTTAACATTTTACAAGGATAATTCTGATTTAGCGTTAAGTAGACGATAGCCCACTCCTAAATCACAAACTCACTGTGCGATCATTTATATTTCAGTTCAAATACCCTTTACACATGTGTAGCCTTCTGTTTATGATTTTATTTTTTCCCGTCTAAGCTTTGATTTCGCAATAAGTTCCTTTGCACATTGGCCAAAAATCCTCTTTCTCCTCCAGAGACCAACTCTAGCTTCTTTTCATTCTTCATCACTTTTCCGAAACTTATTTGGATTTTCGGCAAGGCCATTAAATTCTCACTTGCTGTTTTCTTTCTTGGAACAACATTGCTTTTTTTAATCCTTCAAACATACATCCCCATCTTCTACATGCCAGGCACTGTACCAGATTCTAGGGAAACAAAGATGCAGAGTAACATAGAACCCTCTCTTTCTATGCACCCCAGGCCCAGTGCTCAGAGCCTAGCCGGGTAACCTGCGATCTGCCAAACACCACTCAGACTGTCCCTCTGCCCCACATGCTTCACCTCACTCACTCGCAAAGGCAAAGCTACCCAGGTTCCCTACCACCCCCTGCAGCTCACCCACTACTGTGACCCAGCTCCCCTCCCACTGTGCCCCTGGGACTCAAGGGCCAACATCCCCCTTTACTTCCTAAACCCTTCCTTTCACACTTGTTTTTATTGGGGTAAAATACACATAATGGAACATTTATTTTAGCCATTTTAAGTGTACCATTCTGTGGCATCAAGTACATTCCCATTGCTCTGCAACCATCACCAGAACATCAACCATCCATTTTCAGAACTTTTTTCATCTTCCCAAACTGAAGCGTTGTACCCTTCAACACTAACTCCCCATCTTACTCCCGGTCTCTATGAATTTGACTACTCCAGGTACGTCTTGTAAGTTCCTTTCACTTTCTTAACCTAAATGAAAACGCTCTCTGGCTGAGTCACATGGCCCACTCGTGTGGCTGCCTTCTCTCTCCTGCACCCTTCCCCCACTCAGCCTAGATGGGGGGTTGGGTAGCCACCTCTACCGCAGGCTATCGGCACTCTCTCCAGTTCCTCTGAAGCTCACAAGTCTGACCGTGCCCCCTTCCTCAGACCTCTGGTCACCTCTCCTCATTCCTTGAAGAGGTTAGCACGTGCGCTTACTGTCCCTTCATCTCTTCACCATGACCCCTGGCGTGATTCTTCGTAGTTTCATCATTCACCCAGAGGATCCTTCCAGTTCTTTGACCTCTCAGTTTCTGGAACTCTTCTCCTTCAATGTCCTTGTCTCAGCCACCCAGGCCTAGGTCACTCTCTTGACCTTGTCAGTCTTAAGCATCCCGCTCTCCAGCCACCATCTCCCTACGGTGCAGCTCACACTCTCTAGATTCCAATAATTCTTCAGCTCCCCAGGGCCAACAATCTATTGTGCCCTGTTCTCCGCACCCTCATGTTCTTAACCCAACTTAAGTTCCACGGTCTATCATGATACTCTGGCAGAAAACCTAAACATGTTTGCCTTCTCTCTCCTTACTGAAGTTGCCCAGTGAAACTCCAAGCCCTGGTGAAATCCTACCATCTACTTAACTCCATGCCCTCACTCAGGCTGCTGCACATGGTCAGAGGGAAAGACCCCACTCTACTATGCTCGTAGGTCTACTTTTGAAGTCCAAAGCACTAAACTCAAGTGGGTTTACCCAGCATCCCATCCCCAAGAAGACTGTTTCATATGTCCTCCTGCCCCCTCCCTCTCAGATGATGGATGAGCATGCTTTAATTTCACTGAGAAAACAGACACACTCAGAAGAGACCTTGCACCGGTGCCCACAAGCACGCCTACTACTTGGTACCAGTATTTGCTGCCTCCCCTCCTTTAGCTGTGCCTAAATGATCCATGATCTAAGCCAGGGCCAACGACTCCACTTAAATATTTTCCATGTGCTAACAGTGCCCCAATTCACATTTCCATACCCAGACCTCTTCCCTAAGCTTCAGATCAGTAAAACCAACTGCCTATGTGATTTCTCTGCTTTGGCATCTAGTAGGCACCTCAGTTAACACGTTTAAGACTGAACTCGTGATTCCCAACTGGCTCTTGCTTTGAAATATATCCAGAACACTTCTCTGACGACTGCAACAGCCTCCTAACTGGCCTCCTTACTTCCCATACCTGCCCAACTTTCTAAGAAAGTCGAAAGGTAAGTCAGATTACGACATTCTATTCAAACTCTCCAAAAGCTTCTTATATCACTCCGAGTAAGAGTCAAAATCTAGTGCATATCTTACTCTCCTCCTTGCTCATCCCACTTCAGTCCCATCGGCCTTGATGGTCCTCTGCATTAAGCACCCTACCTCAGGGCCTTTGCACTCGTTATTTCCTCCTCTTCAAACCCCATTTCCCACTCTTCTTTCCACACACCAACTAGGCTCATTTCCTTAATTCATTCGGGTCTCTGTCCAGGATTATTTCATTAGAGAAGTTTTCTCCGTCCACTTTATATAAAGCAGCACCCTCCACCCCTCTTACATCTTCTCACCGTGCTTTGTCTCTCTACATGCTACTAAAGCAACATCTGCCCTGTTTGCCCACTTTTCCCAACCAGAATGTAAACTCCATGAGAGCAGGGACTTTGCCCTTTTTGTTTCCTGCTATATCCTTAGAACCTAGAGTGATGTCTTTCATGTAGTAGGTCGAGGAATGAATGGGTTAAATAGACAATATTTGTAAACAGGTTTTAAAAAATTATTTGTAGCTAAGAAAATCTCTGAGAAAATATAGTGTTCAATACTCATTTGCTTATGAGCCACACGGCTTAACTGGGATAGGCTAAAGATTTCATTAATAGGAAAATTGAATTTAAAAAGTCACGTGGTTTCTATCATTAATCCATTCACCTCAGGATTCAACACGCATATTCCTTTAGATCAGAGAGATTAAGAACATTTTATAATATCTGTTTAGTTACATACACACAATTTGAGAATATACTTCCCCCACATTCCCCATTTATTCTAGAAAAACTAAGGGTTCCCGGGATGTGTAATTCTCTAGTATGAAACACAGCTTTCTCAAATCGTCTGTGAATGTACTGTGGGTTCATCCCAACAGGAAATGGCCAAGGTGAATAACTGAAACTCTACACGCCTCTTGCTAAAACATGCTTTTACTTTTATTTGTTGCGGCTGTGTGCTTTTCTCCCTTCCTTTGAAGGGATTAAGTAAACACGAAAAAGGGAAGTTTGCATTACTTACGTTGGTGCCATAAACTTATTTCCATTTATTAGAGATTCAAACAAATACCCCAGCCCCTGGCTTCCAGACTACAGGGGCTGTTAATTTTGGCCTTTGACTGTGGTCTGCAGCATCCTCTTTTCCTGCCCTGATTCCTTCCATGCCCATTCCCGAGGGCACAGATTTCTCTGTGGTGCGCTTCTCTATGGTCACACCAGTTTAACAGCTGAACACCAGTTCAACTGTTAATACTGGTGTAACTGATTAGGACCTGGTGTTGAGGGTGGGGAAAAGAAGCCCCCCATCTCCTCTGGCAGCAACCCCAATAGCCAGCATTAACTGAGGCAAGTGACTATTGAAAACAAGGCAGGGGGATAAAGTGTTGCACTAAAAGCTGCGACGGGTGTCTGCATGATCCAGCTGCATGGCCGCATGCCAACTGCTTCCTATCCGTGGTGTATTTACGTTATTTAGGCACTCACCCCGCCCAGAACAGAAAAGGACAATGAACTCTACTACCAAAAAGGTATAAAGAAGGAAGAAACTCCCTTCCCACCCTCCCTCCCTCCCTCTTTCTGGAAAGAATTAAGCAACATGCTTAAGCCAGATGCGGGGTTTGTCTGTGGGGTGCGGGATGAAGCAGGAGAGGCTAAAGCAGATGCGTTTCTTCATGTGCACAAGAAAAATGCTGTGGGTACGCTTTAGAAAATTCCCCCAAACGCTGCTGTCAACAACAACAATCACCTCATGCTTCTGAAAGTTTCAACTGTTCAACTGGTGTAACTGATTAGGACCTGGTGAAGTTCCAGGCGTGGGTCCAAACACAAACTGAATGGAGCCCTCCCTAGTGTCTGAACTTGAGTTAAACTGACCCTAAGAGTCAATGTCATTACAAATGGTGTTTGACCACCACCCGAACACCACTATATTCTTTATATGCATTTTGAGTAAAACTGGCTTTTTCAAATTGGGCTGGGGATCTGGCCAAACGTGGTTCCTTGAAGGACAAAGCTTTGCACTCCCCACATGCAGCCTTATTTGTAAAAACAGGACTTGCTGTCCTGCAATCACTCAACACGCAACAGAGGTCGGTGACATCCCATGGCAGGATGGGGAGGGAGAGAAAGAACAATTTTAAAGCTAGATTTTTGTTTTGGGGTGCTGATTCCAAGGTGGCACAAGTAGTTTTGCATCTCAGGCATTTCTGCTCTAAGCTGTTCTCCCCAGATTCAAAGCAGGCCCTGTCTGGGCCACGTTACAGAAGTAAACAAAGGGATTGTAGGAAACAGTGATGAGGCAGCATTGTGTCTGTGAAGAATGTTCAAAGCCAGACAGGTCAGCACTGCCTTGAC